TGGATGCAGAGGCAAGAATTTCTCACCTGAAAAGGTAGAAGCAGAAATTACCACAACAGTGTTTGGGTGCTGTCCTGCTGAAATAAACATCCAGTGCGTAGAATACCCTAGGTGTTTGTACTGGACTAAATTCTTTAAAATGGGAAAAGGTCAAAATAAATTAGTGATAATTTAGAATCTACAATCTAGAAGTTTGTAGAAGTGCAGGATCCAACAACAACAACAACAAAAAAATCACTTGAATATATAGTTTGGAAAAAATATGGGTTTGAGGGACGCCTCCATTCTAAGATAAAATAATAAGAACTAAATGATAAAATAATAGAACTAAAGTGAGTCAGGGCGGTAAAAGAATTAAAAAGGATGGGTTCAGGGAAGAGTATAGAGAAGATCATAAAGGGGATGTAAAATTTGTGTCAGATTGATCCAAGTAATTTAAAATACTTGTAGGAGTGGAAGTTAGAGTATGAAATAGATAAATAAATAAATAAATAAATAAATAAATAAATAAATAAATAAATAAATAAATAGATAAGCTTCAAATGGCAAGGTGTAGGTATGATACATGCAAAAAGTAGATACGATGAAAACCTAAATAAATAAATGTAAAGTTGTGTTTGTCCGGTTTTAATATTATGTGTTTCTGTCTTTAAAGTTATGTTTGTGGGTCTTTTAAGTTGTTTGTGTGTCAAAAAAATAATGAAACACAGTTTAGAGGGAGACAGCTTGAATTTGCAGTGGTGGGGAAGTATGTTTTCTGGTTCGGTGGCTGCAGCGCTGATCCGGTTGGCACCTTCCTAATTACTGCAGGGTCTCCATAAATTATTAGTTTAAAAATTAATAACCCACAAGAAAACTATTTTAGTCATGCAAGCTACTTACAGGGAATAAAAAAAATAGCGGGATTAAATAGGTGGATTGTGCAAACTAAAACATAGAAACAGCTATGAAGCATAGTTTGGACCATAATTGGGCTCAAGGGAGGGGCCGGTGGTCACAGGGGAAAAACAAGGGGTCACGTAGAAAGCACAATAGGTGCTACAACTGTGATAAGGAGGGCCACTTATCTCGAGAATGTCCAGACCCCTGCAGAGTGAC